TTTATGTTTTTTTTTTTTTTTTTTTTTTTTTAAAGTTATGCAGGTGGAATTCTGCTTTGTAAATTACGGTGTCCTTGTCGTTGTAGATTGTAGCTGTAGGGATGGGACTGTAAATGTGAATGCATGACCACTCACGACAAACAAGTCAATTATAGCTTCTATTGTTCTTCAAGATTAGGTAAGTTAGGGAGCTAGTAAAATTTAGGGAACTTGAGTGGTTGCTTTCAAAATTTGAAACTTTGCATTATAATTTCTCTTCAACTCCCTAATGTGTGAAGTAAAAGGATTTAGTGCTCTGGTAACAACGTTTTTTTTTTAGTTACAACGATATTCTATTCTAAGGGGCCGGGAGGAGTTTCGAACCCCGGGACAGCTGGGTGATAAGGGGGAGGGCAAACTACTAGGCCACTCCACGTCCTTAATAGCAACCCTTTCTATATTACAAGATTGCAACTGCTCCAAATGTGGTAAAATCTGTTGTAGTAGCAAGTAACGGTAGTTTCCTAGTTTTAGTGAAGTTTAAGGGGCGTATGTCTATTTGTTGGAAAAATGTGAATAAAATGTATGTATGTTGTCGTCCAACGAATAGCAGCCTTTTAAGTCTCGAGTTGCCCATTTAGAAGATCTCATAAGTTTTGCCTCACTGTCTGCAATGACTTGTCTACCCTTTCAAAGCAAAAGTCAAAATTGGTATCTTCGACTCAAAAAATGTTTGTTTACTACCACCACCAATGATATAGTTGACGCTTTTGAAAATAATATTTTGTGTTCTTCTTTTCTTTATCCAAAAATAAGATTTTACTTTTGTAGAAAAATTATGTTGTATAAATAAAGAGATAAACAAAATTTATGTTGTTATTGTTTGTGCAAATAATCGCTCGGAAGAATATTCATTTCTAGATTCTTCACCCTTTGAGCTTTTTTCTCTCTTTTCCTCGATTCCTGTAAAAAAAACCCAGAGTAAATAGACCACACACCGCCGATGCCTAAGTTAGAGGAGCTTCGGGTGCTTTTGCAAGGTTTCAGAGCTGGATTTAGAGTTACCTTGAGTGTTGAATGAAGCCATGTATTTATAAGAGCCTCAAAGGTTAGAGTTTTGAAAAGAATAAATTCTTATTAGGAAGGAGTTTATTTTTTCCCCAAATTGTAGAGGTTGAGTCCATTAGGGATTTGATTGAGATCAAATCTCCTAATTTGATTATGATAATATCTCTTAATTACGATAATATCTAAATTGGTGATATATCTCATATTTAAGATATTATCCCTATTTTTAGTATTAATTAATTGGCCAAATCAATAGGCTCAATTAATTAACATAAAGGATATTCTTCTTGTCCATGTGGCGTTTTGTAATTGGAGACGAAAATATTTGCTCCCACAGTTATTATGTATAGAAGTGGGCATATGAATTGGAAAAATTCGAGTACATACCATATCAAACCACCAATCTGATTTGGTTTGAAAATCTTTTATTTAATTTTATACTTTGTGACGATCTGATTCAAATGGAAAGTTCTGATAAAAACATTTGGGTTGAATAATGCCTAGTCCATCGGTAAATCAAACCATGACAAAATTAATTTTTTTTACTGGGCATGTCACCCTTTTATTGGAATTGACAGGACTCAACTCAAATTCCCCTTTGGAGCTCATGACGAACCCTTCTTCACATCCGACATCTACCCAATGCTGGACCCACTTTACTGAAAAGCTCTATAGCCCTATTTTAAACGGATATACAATTCAACTTCTATCGAAATTTCAGTAGAGTCTCCCCTATAATTGGAACAATTCCCATATTACAATACTTGCAAACAAGTACAGAAATAACCCCAACTTCCAGCATGCACAAGGTAAAGGCACACAGAATAGTTAAGACTAATCAAATGGGTTTCACGCCCTTTACCCAAACTCAAAGAGAGCAAGCAGAGCAACTAAAGAATTTAGTTTACAACCAGGGGAAAAGAGAGTGGAGAAAAGTAAAAGAAAAGTTCCTACAAAGCAGACAGCTGCGATGCCTCGACATGGTGGTCTCGACCTCATATATCTAGGACCTAGGGACGCAAAACATAAAATTTGAGTGGACGAAAACAAAGTGTTTAACATAATTTATATGCAACACAAATAACCCCCTCCATTTTAGAAAATAATGTCAAGCAACAAAATCCTTTGTATGCGTACATATATATGAACTTATACTTGAAAACAATTCCATTAAATTTGTACCTTAATATACCATAGTGAAAACCATAACTTCAATACTTTCTCAATTTCTTGAAAAATACACTGTAAACACATACATTAAATCCTTTTTATAAAATTGTAAACCAATCCACCCAAAATATTCCATTAATACAAAATATAATCAACATAATCAAAATAATTCTTTTTTCCCTCAACCATACCCTTTCTTAGGCCTATGCTTGCAAACATATAAAATTCTAGTGTTTCCAAATAGCCCAACTCAAATCCAAACCTCCTTAAAAAATTCATACCTATGCAGCGGTATCAATGCACATGCTCAAGAAATCTCAAAACCTGGAAAGTAACTCCACACATATATAACATAAACGACTTTAAAAGCAAGATATCTCATAATCCCGATATAGCAATATAACATAAACTCAAACTGGACTTCCCTTCCCAAACCACTCTCTTCCAAAACGCATGCTCGTAGGCATAGCAAGCGAGGAAGGATCCTCACTAGTAAATAAGAATATAAGTGTTTAGGGTTTATGTTATATGCTATAATATGAACTAAGTCCAGTTTGCTCGTAGACTTAGTTCATATAATCCCGATATATATATATATGACCACTACCAAACATATACTGAGGAAACAATCCAACCGATAGATTGTTTGACTAGACCACACGAAAGAACCCTCAATAACCATGTGGCTAAGGAACCAGTCGTCCAACCAGAGGACTGGGCTCCCATACACGCACAACAAAATCCTCAATACTCGTGCGGCTGAACTAAGTCCTACATGCCAGACTTCCCAGCCAAGGGCCTACGAAACACCCATCCAAGGGTACCTGGGTTCCAACAAATCCAAGTATCCATATCCACTGTTTCCAATATCATTGTTACAGGGAGGTACATAGGGTGGTGCTAACAGCACTCCAATATAACATATTCCACATCCCAACTCATATACATAATCATATCCCAAATTCCAGATAATCCACATGTACCCAATCCCATATACATAAACATCCGGACGTTGATAGTGTCCATAACTCAATACCCAAATATATATTCATAGTATAGATAGCAACTCTCAAAAGCGTATATTCCATAACCCAAAATACATCTCCCTTAGAATACTCTTTCCAATAACATAGCCGAGTTCCAAGACTCGTCTTCACAAATATCCAAATCAAATTATCCCATATATCGTATTACATAACTCAAAATATTCATAAACCCCAAATAATCAAAATAATCCAATAATCCCATAAAATAATCTCGTAAACCCATCAAGATGGCAAAGTAATTCAAATAATAATCAACACTCGTTTACACATGCAATTCCCATAAAACACTATACTCCACAATTAAAACAATAATATACTTTCACAAACAAACCCAATATCACCCAAACCATATACTTTAATAATAATAATAATAATAATCCCTGAAAATCCCATATCACATCCGATAAAAATCACATTCGAAACCCAAAATCCATATACTTTATAACTAACAATAAGCTCTAAATCAAGTCTCATTTTTCCATATTAAAAAAATAATGCTCATGTAAAACAATGTCCACTCACAACAGGTCCACGCTGCTCAATCCAGAGAGAGCTCTTCCTCTAGAATACGAGAAGCAACTAGGCGGTCAAACTTCCCATATTGGTCAACCTGGTTCGTAAGCCCACAACCTCTAATTTCCAAACCGAAATTTCCTATGGGTCCAACAAAGTCCACTAAACAAGTCCTGTAAGTTTGATCTCGATCGAGCGGTCGGATGTAAGCTAATCACATAATCGGACAACGATCGCTTTGCTTGAACCTAGCATTAATGATTCGAAGTATCCGGAACTCCGATTCTCGATCCATGAGCTCCTACCCGATCCTAGATGTAAAGAGAACAACATAATTGAAATTGTGACTGATCGAATGTATGAACCCATCGAACTCGAATATTGCATATTAGGTGCAATATCCGTTCGACTGTCATACAGCAACCAAATTCAATTTCGAGCATACCGTCGTGTTCAGGACGAT